CGCTGGTTAACCTGTTTTGTCTTCTTCGATCAAAAGGCTCCCAAACGTGCCCCAATAGACATCCGAGATGACCCTGAGAGGCCTCCAACAGACCCCCAGGAATCTCCAAATCCAGCAATGGTGGCCTTTCTATTTCAACGGGCCGCTGGGGACACGGGAAGCGTAAACGCTTACATCCGCCAGTCCTCCTGCATGGGGTCGGAGTCGGCGGACTGGCGCAAGCCTCAACTATTGGGAAGAAGGAGGAGGTAGAGACAGGCACGAGGGATTATGATGAGGAGGAAGAGGAGGAGAAGGAGGAGGAAGAGGCAGGAGGAACCAGCTAATCAGTTGGTCGGCGGCAGAAGGAACAAAGGACGTAAGGCATCGGCTTCAACAGCGCCACGACCGTGCTGGCGACGGCAAGACCCAAGTCCGTGAGCGAGAAAACGAAGGCAGAGGAATGGAGCCGAGGAGAAGGGGGAGGACAAAGAGGACACGGAGAGGGAGGAGGAGGAGGAGGAGGAGGAGGAGAAAAAAAAAAGGACCTGGAGCAGTTGTTTTGTTCTCGCTGGGATCGCCCCATTACAATGATATGGTATATACCGAAAGGCAGCCATCCGACCCAGGCATCTGCTGCTTCGGCTTGGACCTTTCGATGTACAGCCCCCCGAGGCCTTCGCCCCCTTTCCCCCGGGCCAGTTTCCCGTCCCGAGTGCAGGCGTACTCCCCCCCTTCGCTCCCTGAATCGGTGCCGCCCTGCTCCCACGCTTTGTCACTGACGCGCCGAGGGCCAAACAAAGAATGTACGTTTTCCTGCGCGCGGGAAGGCGCGCGCGCGAACCTCCGCCGCCGCAGTTCTGCGTTGCTCGCTCGAACGCTCCAACGCCCTGCGCTCGGCCGCGCGAAGGGCGCGACACCCCGCGCGGGGCAATGGCGCTGACGCAATGCTGAAATCCGCGCGCGGGTCCCCTTTTCTGAGCTTTGATAGCTCCAAACGGGGCAGCGTGCCTTCGCCGATAAAAAAAACAAGGTCAGGCGTGCTTGCGCGGGCGCCTGCAATGACAAGGCGACGCCTGCATCTCATCACTTGACGTGCTGGGGGTGCGGGCGCTTCACCACCATGGGCGGTGCCTGCGCTGATAAAGTCCTACGCCCGCGGCGCCTGCGCCAACAACGTGATATGAGGATGTGAATGGACGCGCCCGCGGTGCCTGCGTCTGGCCGGGCGCAGTGCCCCGCGCGAATGGATCGACTGCCCCCACGGGGCCTGCACGGACAAGTGGACTGGAAGGCGCTGCCTGCAACCTATCGTTTGACGCGCCTGCGGCGCCTGCACCGAATGACGCGCAGCGCCTGCGCTGACAAAGCGTGTCCGCGGGGCGATGTCGATGGTCTTGCGCGGAGCGGGCAGCAGCCAGCCACCTCGGCGCGGAAAGCATCGAAGTCCGCGCTCGAAAAATCGGGACCGCGACAGTTCGCCAGCTCGTCCACCTCGCCTGCCAAGTCGTGGGGCCCAGACAGGGCGATCCGCTTTCTGTCTTTGGCTGACATTCGGTATCGGGACATGGAAATCAGAATTGAGCCAACATGGCCACGGATGGCATCGCCGTGGGTGCAGAAATGACGGCGACGGCGGTGACGGCGATGGCGACGAGGCAACCCTCGCGGCCGCGATCACGATCATCTACATTGCACCCCGTCGCGCAGGTCGGCTCCCAGGAAGGCATCCGTGCTTCGTCTGGATACTAAAGTGGAATGGGAAAACGCCTGTAGTCCGAGAAAGGGGGTGCGAACGATCTTACATGATCCCCGCGCGTGGCCGGAGCACGGGCGGAGAGGCCGGAGAGCGCGCTGGGAGTGTGCGCTGGGATGGCAAGCTGGCTGGAAGGGCACACTGGGAGGGCGCGCGCTCGGAGGGCGCACGGTGGGAAGGCGCGTGCTGGAAGAGCGCGCGCTAGGAGAGCGCGCGCTGTGAGAGGGTGCGCTGGAACGGAGCGCTGGGAGGGCGCGCTGGGAGGGCGCGCTGGGAGGGCGCACTGGGAGGGCGCGCTGGGAGGGCGCGATTGGGAGGCGGACTGCTTGAAAAAACGCTTGCTCGTAGCTCCGTTTCCCTGTTCCTTTCCTCGCCCTCTTGAACCCCTCACTCTTGTCCGCACTGCTGGGTGCTACAATATTCGACGGCCCCGAGACCCGAGACTGGCTTACATTGGCGACAGGCCAGCCATCTCGATTTGTTCGATGGCGCCGGGTATCTGGGGGGCCGAAGTTTAGCGCGGGGGGGAGAGGGGAGTGGAGGCCAGGCCAAGCGACGCGCGAGAGGGAGGAAGGGGAGGGCATGGGTCGACGACCCTCAAAGCGTGTTTTAGCGCCTACGTCGGGACTACGTGCGCTTGTCCACCGAAGTCCCCCGACTCGCCTGTGTTAGGGAAGGACGGCACACGCTGCATGCCGCATTGGAGCTGAACGGGACAAAAACGCATTGGAATACCCAAACATGCGGTGTTGTGCTTTGTTCGCCAAGTGGTTTCCCAAAGGTCTGGACCCTTCTTTGGGACTGGCCTTTCACCCTGAGTAGTTATTCACAGTCGTGGGGCCTGGTCAGTCCTCGGGATGCCGAATTATGGGAGAAAAAACTTTCGTTGTCTTTCCTTCCTTTGTTCACGACGAAGGAATGTCAAGGTAACGCACCTCCTGAGGATCATCCAAGCCAAATGGGGAAGGCGAGACCGTCGACTGCTTCTGGATGCCTTGCAGGGACCCTGGCAGCCTGGACGCGGTGCGAAGGTATTATTTGCCCGAGCTGCTCCTCGAGCGCGTCTGCCGCAGAGACACGCGGCCAGGGGAGGCGAGGGAGAGGCTCCCGGGATCCATCTCCGTACGGAACAGTCACAGCCTGGGGATGCTGGGAGGAGGAGGAAAAGGGGAAGGAGGAGGAGGAGGAGGACGAGGAGGAAGAGGAGGAGGAGGAGGAGCAGGAGGGGGAGGAGAGGGAGGAGGAGGAGGAGGAGGAGGAGGAGGGTAAGCAGGAGGAGGAGGAGGGAGGAGGAGGAGGAGGAGGAGGAGGAGGGCAGTCAGCACAGCAATCTCACGGAGCGCGTCCCTCGGAGGGGCTCCGCCGAGGGACCCCTGCGTCGCGGCCTCCCCGAGCCCCCGAGCGCAAGCTGGCGGAGCCGCGCGGAGGTCCTGGTGCAGGAGCGCACGCAGGCTCTCGTCGCTGGGGCCCTGGGCGCCCTCGTTGTGAAACGAGGCGGCGAAGGTGTCCTCCCGCGTCGGACGCAAGGAGGAGGAGGAGGAGGAGGAGGAGGAGGAGGAGGAGGAGGAGGAGGAGGCGGGTGGGGCAAAGGGGGCGTCGGCCAATCAAGCGCCAGAAACGCCTATGCATTGAGAGGAAAAAGCGCCCGGCGGCGGGGCCGAAGCTGGCTGTTTGCAGCAGGTGTCGCGCCCTCCCTGTCATTATCCCCCTCTTTCGCCCGACCCGGTCCTCGAAAGCGGCGCGGGACACCGTCGTGGTCACGCGCGTCGTCGGAGTGGCCTCGCCGATCGCGGGCCTGCCGTCCTCGGCCTGGCAGGATCAGATAGCATCGGATCGAGACATCGGATGTGCGTCGGATCGGGCCGCATCGGCACGGAGACGAGATCTCGAGATCGACCTGGCTCTGCTGTGCCAGTATGCAAAACTTGGGGGCTCCGAAGCGGGGCGGTGGGAGACCGTGTGGTGACCTCGACATCCCCCGAGACCTCGCCACACGGTCTGCCACCGCACAGTTTTCGGACATTCGAGGCCCCAAGCGCCCGAGACATCCTCGGAGAACGAACCAAGCCCAAAATCGTGCGGTCACCCCGAACGCCCACTGGCATACCACACGGTGTGATCACCGCTCCCGGCAATGCGTCGGGTCGGGCCAGCCTGTATCGACGTCGAGTCGAATCGGCCGCATCGAGACCCAGATCTGCGATTTCTTGATTCTTTCAATACAGGGCCCTCACATGTTCTGATCCTTTCCCGGGAGCCGGACTTGTTTACAACAAAAAAATCCGTCGGGACTTGTGTTCACGGTGAGAGGGCGCGTGGGGGTGGGCCCTCGGCCTCGTCGTCGCTGTCCTCCAGCGCGCTCAGGTGCCGCAGCGACTCGAACCTCTCCGATGGCGCCCGCTCCTCGTCCCCGCCGCCCAGCAGGGCGGCCCGCAGCTCCTCCAGGGCCTCCTCCGCCAGGCCCCTGGCAGGGGAGCGAAAAGCTGCGCGAACACTAACTGTGGGCTGGGCGTCTCCTTCCACATGACACACTCGCGTCGTGACAACAGTCACGACGACGGTTTTGTTTGCCCAGTCGCGGCCTCCAGCGACCCTCGCCTTGCCCCAGAACCGTAACAAAAACGGCCCAGGATGAAAAGCCAGCCACAGGGAATGGGTCGAGACCTCTGGGGGTCCACGGTCTGAAACAAATCATAACGTCGTGGGTCTGCGCGAACTTCGCGGAGGCACGCAGTGGGGCGTAGTCTGTCTTGCGCTGCACCCTCCTCGGCCTGCTGCGCAGCTGCAGCTTCCAGATTCGTCGGGCTGCACGAACAAGTACGGAACTTTTTGAGGGTTCACGCGGATTTCTTGGATAGGCGTCGGGCGCCACCTCCTCCCTGGCGCGCGGGGAGCGCCAGGGAGGCGGCACCGGAGGCGCCGACCCAGGGGGGTCCAGCGCCCACCTGAGGAAATCCGCGCGGGCCTCCGAAAGCTTATCCACAGCTTGGAAGAAGCGGGTAGAAGCATGAAGCAAGCACGCGTTGAAAATAGACTGGGCTGCCGCCCACCCTCTGAAGAGGAGGGACAATGGAAAACCGCTCGACACCTGAAATAGGAAGGCGCCTACAGTAGACTGGAACCAAGGAATCCAAGCGTACGTGCTTGTGCAATATTTTGCGCCTTGGCCTGAAGAATCTCCGGTCCGCCGGGTGCTCTCGCAGCAGCTGCGCCACCGCCCCCGAGGCGGCCCGGCGCAGCGTGCAGACCCTGCGGCTCCGGAAAGTCACCGGGCTCTTGAACGAGGGCAGCACGACGCCCATCTCCTGAGGGGGCCGAAGGGCCCAGAGGTCCTCGCGTCGCGAACAAAAAAACACGACGTGAAGAGTCTGGTAATTTACGGCCTCCAGGGGCCCTTGCTGTGCCCCAGGGCCGTCAACAGAAACGGCTCGGGACAAAAAGCTGGTCCCCGGGAAGGGGTCCAGACCTCTGGGGATGCACTTTGGGGAACAAAAACACTGCGTCGGATGTCTGGAAAGGGGCAGGGCTGCCCAATGACCATGGCCTGGAGTCGACGATGCGTTGCCGAAAAATCAGCGATGGGTCCCCGATGTCGAAATTCGCATGCTCCTAGGCTGGTTTGAGGTCCCAGGCCCCGATGGGCGAGGAATGGGCGATCGGGGATCGTTGCATTCCCCCTGCCCCACCCTAAGTATCGTTGCCCCAATGGTTTTCGGGTCATCCATCGGATGTCCGGCGGCCATTCGGGACGATCCCAGCAAACCTGGAACGCCCTCGACGAGGCGCAGCTTAAGAAACCATCCCCGGCCTGGAACGCTTCAGAACAAATGTTTTAAATGTGATCGGCGATTGGGGGCCGATGTTTAATCCCCCACTGCTCCTGTGTGGGCTTGAGGGGTCCTGGCAAGCCTCGACAGGCTCATCCTCCTACTCTCTACTCTCGTCCCGCTCCTCTTCTACCGCCTCCTCCTCCTCCTCCTCCTGCTCCTCGTCCTCCTGGCCTCCTACTCCGGCACCGCATCTTGGGAAACCAGAAGGTATCGAGAGGTAAGACCACTCCCCAGACCTCTTCACAGGTGCGTGCAGACGAGGATCCGAAGCGAGTCCAGCCGTGGCGACGAGAGACGTGTAGCGGCGTGGACATCGTTCCATCCTCTGAGGCTTGAGCGAAGCTGGGGATCGATGCTTCCCCCCCTTGGCCATTCTTTGCGGAAGAGGTAAGTGATGGGCCTGCTTTCCACCACCACCACCACCACCACCAGCACCACCACCAGAAATTGGAGTTGGAGTGGTGGAAAGCAGGCCCATCAATAAGGGGGGGCCAGCTCAGTGGGTGGAACATCCAGCTGGAATCGGCGGGAATCGGGGGCGCTTGGCCTCCGATAGCGAAAATCCGCGCGTTCCCGGGCCCCCCAATCGGCGATCCATGGGCGATTATGGGTCGATGCGTCCCCCCTGAGCCCATCCCCCCCTAACGTTGCCCCCGACCATGCCCCCTTGGCTTAGGTCGGGCATGTCCCCCTACAGGGGGATTTTGGATGAAAAATAACAAATACCCCAAACATACCCCAAAACATATTCAAACATACTCTAAAATGGTCTCCAGACTATTTTAACTGTTTGGGAATATTCCTCCTGTGGAGGGACAGGCCCGACTTGACCCTTGGCCGTTGCCCCTGGACTCCCCCAGCAGCAGGGGCGCGCTGACCTTCGCCACGGGCTCGCCGTCGACCTCCAGGGAGACGCTGCCCGTGGTGAGCACGAACACGTCCTCGGCGGCCTGCCTCTGCAGCAACAGGGGCTGGCCTCGGAACGCGACCTCGTCGGTTTCGGATGCTGCCGAAGTACGGTGAGGCTTAGGTCGGGCATGTCCCCCTACAGGCGGCTTTTGGACGAAACATGAATTATCCCAGTGCGACCCTACCTAGGAGTTGGAGCCCCTAGGAGAGCATTAGTAGTAACAGCAAAGCTAAGCTAAAGCTAAGCTAAAGCTAAGCTAAAGCTAAGCTGAAGCTAAGCTAAAGCTAAGCTAAAGCTAAGTTAAGGTTAAGCTAACACTAAGCTAAAGCTAAGCTAAAGCTAAACTGAAGCTAAGCTAAAGCTAAGCTAAAGCTAAGCTAAAGCTAAGCTAAAGCTAAGATCAAGGTTAAGCTAACACTAAACTGAAGCTAAGCTAAAGCTAAACAAAGGCTAAGCTAAAGCTAAGCTAAAGCTAAGCCAAAGCTAAGCTAAAGCTAAGCTAAAGCTAAAGCTAAAGCTAAGCTAAAGCTAAGCTGAAGCTAAACTAAAGCTAAGCTAACGCTAAGCTAAAGCTAAGCTAAAGCTAAGCTAAAGCTAAGCTAAAGCTAAGCTAAGGCTAAGCTAAAGCTAAGCTGAAGCTAAGCTAAAGCTAAGCTGAAGCTAAGCTGAGGCTAAGCTAAAGCTGAGCTACAGCTAAGCTAAAGCTAAGCTAAAGCTAAGCTAAAGCTAAGCTAAAGCTAAGCTAACACTAAGCTAAAGCTAAGCTAAAGCTAAGTCAAAGCTAAGCTAAAGCTAAGCTAACACTAAGCTAAAGCTAAGCTAATACTAAGCTGAGGCTAAGCGAAAGCTAAGCTGAAGCTAAGCTAAAGCTAAGCTAAAGCTAAGCTAACAATAGGCTGAAGCTAAGCTAAAGCTAAGCTAAAGCTAAGCTAAAGCTAAGCTAAGGCTAAGCTAACACTAAGCTAACGCTAAGCTAAAGCTAAGCTGAAGCTAAGCTAACGCTAAGCTAAATCTAAGCTAAAGCTAAGTTAAAGCTAAACAAAGGCTAAGCTAAAGCTAAGCTAAAGCTAAGCCAAAGCTAAGCTAAAGCTAAGCTAAAGCTAAAGCTAAAGCTAAGCTAAAGCTAAGCTGAAGCTAAACTAAAGCTAAGCTAACGCTAAGTTAAAGCTAAGCTAAAGCTAAGCTAAAGCTAAGCTGAAGCTAAGCTAAGGCTAAGCTAAAGCTAAGCTGAAGCTAAGCTAAAGCTAAGCTGAAGCTAAGCTGAGGCTAAGCTAAAGCTGAGCTACAGCTAAGCTAAAGCTAAGCTAAAGCTAAGCTAAAGCTAAGCTAACGCTAAGCTAAAGCTAAGCTAAAGCTAAGCTAAAGCTAAGCTAACACTAAGCTAAAGCTAAGCTAACACTGAGCTTTAGCTAAGCTAAAGCTAAGCTAAAGCTAATATACAGCTAAGCTCAAGCTAAGCTAAAGCTAATCTAAAGCTAAGCTAAAGCTAAGCTAAACGCTAAGCGAAAAGCTAAGCGAAACGCTAAGCTAAAGCTAAGCTCCAGCTAAGCTAAAGCTAAGCTAAAGCTAAGCTAAAGCTAAAGCTAAAGCTAAAGCTCCCAGGGGACTTGGGGGAACCGCGGGGCGGGGACTGGGGGAACCGCCCGGGGCGCTTTACACTGCCCGGCCCCTTTAAGCTAAGAGAGTAAGAACCCCTCTAGGCAGAGCCTAGGTAGGGAAAAATACCTGAACAAATATTCCCAACATATCCAAAAATGCTCCAAACATCGTCCCATGACTATTTTTCGCTATTTTTGGATATTCCTCCTGTAGAGGGACACGCCCGTCTTACGGTGAGGGGATTTTATCGCCGTTGGTCTGCGGACACGGGCCTACCTGCAAGAAAAAGAATTCGGCTGGCCCAGCCGCATCGCCGATGCATCGGCAAGGCGTCGGCGATGCATCGGCGATGCATCGTCGATGCATCGGCGACGTCGGTGCAGAATTAATCGGGCCCCACATTGGGCCCCGTCGCGACGGCGATGCATCGGCGAGGCGGCTCGATCCTCCGACCCCCTTTACTCCGACCCCATCTGGGAGGGCAAGTGATCCTGCCCCAGGCCCAGACATGCTCGCGTCGCGAAGAGAAATCACGACGGAAGGCGTTTAGGCGTGGTCGGCCTCAAGGGGCCCCGCCGGCCGGCCGTCCAAAAACCGACTCGTGATGAAAAGCTGGCCCCGGGGAACAGGTCAAGACCCCAGGGGACCCCGTAAAGCGAAAAGCCAGGACATCAAGCCTTTGGACTCCCAGCTTTAGCGCCATCCTGGTGCCTCTGGGGCCCTCTGGGCCTCGGGAGAGGTGCCCAGGAAGCCATCTGCGCCTCCCCTGGGAAAGCCGGAGTCACGCTCGTGGGCCAGAGGCCTTCCGTCTGAGAACACCCCAGGACCTGGTGCGCCATGAGCGAGTCCAGCTGGCCCAGGAACTCCGGCGACAGGCCCTGCTGCAAATGCCCCCGCCGCGCGCGATCCAATCCAAAGTACTCCAAATCCATTTTCATCGTCCCCCGGGTCCAGTCTTTTAAGGCGCCTTTTGTAACTGGGGTGGTCGGGTTTATTAGGGCGCTTTCTTTGGATTGGAGCTTAGGGGGTCCGCTTTATCAGGCGCCCCGTCGAAGGGGGGTGTCCGGAATATTAGGTCGCATTTGGAGGGGGCCGGTTTGGGGGAGGGGTCGATTAGTAAGGGATTTGGAGTGCAGTGCGGGCGCGGCCGCAAGAAACCCTCGCAAGCAACCCAACCCTGAGAACTCGTGCGCGAGGTGCACCTGAGGGGAAACCCGGAGCACCCTGAACGCAGCAGCTCCTTCAACGGCAGCGGGAAGTCACCGCGCAGCGCGAGGAGCGAAGAAGCCCAGGATACCCTGACAAAAAGCAGATGGTTTCTTGATGTTCGGCCTCTCCCGATCCCCGGCAGGCGTCTGCCCTCTGCTGCCGATCGCGAGGTGCCTCGGCGCGGCGCTCGGGCAGCCGCCCCGAGCTCGGGGCCCAGATCGCCAGGCCCTGGCAACGAGGCAGATCGGCGGCGCGCCGCCCGGTGGGGGTGGGGGGGGAAATACTCCTCCTCCTCCTCCTCCTCCTCCTGCTCCTCCTCCTCCTCCTCCTCCTCCTCCTCCTCCTCCTCCTCCTCCTCCAACTCCTCCTCCTCCCCTCCTTAGAGTGCAGAGGGGGCGGGCCTTCTCTCCGAAGGCTCTCGGGAGGCCCCCGGCCTCTCGAGGAGATTCAAGGGCTCCCAACTTCGCGCTCTCGCGCCGCGCGAAGCGCGGAGCGCGAAGAACTTCGCGCTCTCGCGCCGCCTCCCAGGGGCGAGGAGGAGGAAGATGATGATGAGGAGGAGGAGGCGGAATCGGAGCCGAACCGCGAAGCGCGAAGCGCGAATAACTTCGCGCCCTCGAGGACGCCCTTGAAGCGTCCTGAGCCTTCTCTTAGATCGGGCGCGTCCACCTACAGGCGGATTTCGGGCGGGAATGGTTGAAAAAGATTCGAAGCATGATCCTGAGTAGCCAAGAATAGTAGATAGGAAATCGTCCCCAGACTATTTGTCACTATTTTCGGAGACTCCTTGAGAGGGGCAGGCCCGACTTAAGCATTCCACGAAGCCGCAGGAGTCTTCTCAGCAGAGGGCTTCCGAGACGCCACGCCGCCCTCTGAGAAGGCCTGCCCCTTGGCGCGCCGCCGCGAGAAAGGCAGACCCGCCAGATCGAATCCCTCGCCGTGGCCCGGGGCCTTCAGGACACGCAGCGTCTCGAGGGCGGGCGGGGGCGGGAGCGTGTGGCCGTGCTGCTCGGCGAGGGCGAGCCAGGGGCCCGTCTTGGAGCGGCGAGATCTGCACACCAGGCACTGCGCCGCCCCCCGGCCAGGCCCAGCTGGAGCCCCGGAGCGCTGCATGCTCGGAGCAGGGCGAAAGTTGGGACAACGGCGGCTCAGAATCGGTCCCCCAAACCCCTCCCGGGATCCAGACGCACCAGCTGTCCGAGCTCTCCGTCCAGCCGTGGCGACGGGGGGGGCCCGGCGACCAACTGCTGGTTTCTCAACTCGCCCTCCTCTGGTGGACGCCCCCCCTGGCTCGGCCAAGAGAAAGACCGAGCCTGGGCCCAGGGTGCGGCTGGGAACTTCTGCATATCGCGTCGCCGCGGCGGCCCCCGCAACACGCGCCAATCGTGCCCTGCGAGCGGCTGGCGTGCCGCTCCGCTCCGCGGGGCGGGATGCTCGAAAGGGCTCTCGGAAAGTTGACGCCTGGGGACTGGAAGTGGATGGCGTGGCGCGCCGAAGCATGGTGGGCCAGAACTGGCGGAGCGACAGGACATCACAAAGTTCCCGACCGTAGGCCTGGCCTGTACGGTTTCCCCTGGGGCCGTAGGCGACCCGAGGAGTAGGAGGAGGAGGAGGAGGAGGAGGAGGAGGAGGAAACAAAAAAAAGGAGGGGGAGGGAGAAGGAGGAGGAGGAGGGGGAGGGAGAAGGAGGCAGGAGGAGCAGGAATAGGATGAGGAGGAAGAGGAGGAGGAGGAGGAGGAGGAGGAGGAGGAGGAGGAGGAGGAGGAGGAGGAGGAGGAGGACGGGTCGCCTAAGCCCTTCGGAGAAGCCCTTCAGAGGGGCGGTGGGCTCGTGCTTGGGGAGACCAAAAGGTACCGATACCGCCACTCCCTGGACCTCTCCCGGGGTGCGTTCTGACCAGGATTTCGAGGTGAATCCAGCGGTTGCGACGAGGGCCTCCCAAGTGGCGCAAAAAGGGGAACACGGGCGAAGGGGAGGGGTATGGGTACCTTTTCCTCCTCTGAGTGCTCTCGTCGCCCGACGGCCTGGTCGCGGCGCCGGTGCAGGAGGCCGCAGAGCGCCAGCAGCGGCAGCACCCGCACGTCGCAGGCGCTCACGGCCGTCACCGTGGCGGCCCGCCGGTCGACGAAGCCGAGGGCGGCCAGCTCGCCGAACCAGGCGCCGGCGCCGAGGCGCGCCAGGGGCTCGGCGTCCTCGGCCTCGGCCTCAAGGGGCCCAGAGACACACACAAAGAAGTACACACAGATCCCAGGATTCCCTCTATTTCCAAAAGTTTTCTTCTATGTTTTCGTCTTCCCCCACACACTTCCTATACGGTGTCCCATTATTTTGTGTCTGTGTGTACTTTTCCCCTCCTGATCGGTGCGAGGGCAGCAAGCGACCACGACCACGTCGAGGACACGCCCTCGGGGATGTCCTGTGCATGCCAGCAACGGTCAGACCAATCCGGCCCCTTTGCTGTGCCCAGGCTCGGGTATGGCCAGGAGTGGTCGTGGCCAGAAGTGCGTTCCGCGCCTCTTCTTTTGGGCCTCCGGGGCCCTCTGGGCCTCGTGAGGCTTGCTCTGGAGGCCATCTGCGCCCTGCCTCTCTGGGACAGCTGGAGGCGGCCGGCGGGCCCGAGCAAGCCTGCAGAAAATCGGTCAAGGTGGGGGGGAGGCACTTTCGCTCAAACTCGGCCCCTGGACCTCTCCGGGGTCGAAGCGGACAAGTCTTCGAGACGCGTCACGCCGCGGCGACGCGGGGGGCCTCCTTCCCCCCCTCTCTGCTGGCCAGAACCTGTCCTGGCCCACCTCTCAGGCCCCCCTGGCAGGCTCCAGGCTGGGGCCACGGCCACTGGCAGCACCCGATCGGCCTTGTCCTGCGCGCCGTCGCTCGGGAAGCTGGCAGCCGCCAGGACGCCGCTGTGCCGCGCCCGCCGCGAGTGGACGGCCGCCCAGCCCCGCGCGAGGCAGAAGACCCTGCGTGCACACCACCAGGACATGTCCACTGAGACGAGGCCAGGACGGGGGCACAGGGGGGCTGGGACAGATCGGGGATCTCCGATACCTGGTGGTTCTGGAGGATGGGATGGATAGGGCGCCGCGGCCGTTCCAGACCGCTCTGGAACGCCACGAGAGCGTTCTGGAACATGATGGAAGGACTTGCCCTGGTCCTAGCCCCGCCCGATCCACACCCACGGCCGCTTGACCCAGACATCCGGCACGCCCACATGCACAACCACATACGAGCCATACCCCTGAAACGCTGGCTTGGGTTCCAACTTCGAAGGGTGTCTGCAGCCAAGTGGATCGCAGCAGGGGTGTCCGCCCAGCGTCGGTTGGACCAGCAGGGGTAGGGTCCGCTATTTGTCGCAGACCACACCCAAGTCCGCTGGACCCAGACATGCGGCATCGTGCTTATTTGCTCGCAGCGTGGATCCCCCAGGTCGAAGTCTTGGCCCCTTCCTGTGGACCAGGTCTTCGTCCTGGGTTGTTTTATGATGGCCCCGTGGCCGCGTGAGGGCCCCACGGAGGCCGAGAGTTGCCAAAATCCCTCCGCCGCGATCCTTTCGCGAGGATGTCAAGGGAGCCCTGCGCCAAAACCCTTCTAGAGCGGTGGGAAGTATCCATATCATCCGTGCGCCGAAGGGGGCGGGGCAGGAAAAGAGGGGGAGGGGGGGGGGTACCATCGTCCGAGGCATGTGCGCGGACGAGTGAGAGTGAGGGCCAGGGGGTGCGTTGAAAGAAAAAGAGGGGACCACGATATCCACGCACCCCTGGTCCTGACCCCCCTCTTGGACGCCCAGGAGGACTCCTGCAGCCACGTGCATCCTGTGCTCGCGAATGCGCGCGGGTGGGCAGGGGGGCGGGCAGAACACGGCAGGCGGTGGATATGGGGATGCAGTTGACATCCCCAAGGCCCGAAAATGGCCATACCCACAGCGGCCGGAGGTCCCGGCAGATCGACCCCCCAGATAAAAAAAAACGCATCGGACCCCGGGCTTTCTTAATCGCCGCCCTACACTCCCGGACCCCCGACGTCGTGACTTTTCCACATCGTGGGAGGTCTTGAACCATTCCCCGGGAATAGCTTTCCATGCTGCGCCGTTTTATTTGACGGCCCCCAAAAACCGACAATGGCAAACAACCTCCTGTCGTGATGTTATCAGGACGTGAGCATGTCTGGGCTTATGTTGCTCCCATCGCACTTACGGACCACATCCCTGAAATAATTTCGAGCACCCGGAAAAGTGTCGAAAGAGTGTCGAAAGAGTGTCGAAAGAGTGTCGAAACAAGGTCGGACGAGTGTCTCCCAGGGCCGGGGACGTGAAAACCGTCGAGTTCGGGTACGTTTTTGGTGCTCGCAATTTTTTTTGGTGGTCAAGGCTAAAGCAGGTTGGAACATCACAAGTCTGGGCGAATCGACTATGGGCCATATCTGGCGGTGGGCCTGCTCCCGCGGTCGCCCTCCCTCGCCAGCACGCAGCCCGCGGGGCACACCTGCGACCGCATCGCGGCCGAGAGCTCCCTCAGGAAGTCCGCGTCGCAGCCTCTGGCAGATTTCTGGCCCTGCTCCTGCTCCTGCTCCTCCTCCTCTTCCTCCTCCTCCTCCTCCACCTCCTTCTTCGTCTTATCCTCCTCCACCTCCTCCTCCTCCTGCTCCTCCTCTTCATCCTCCTCCTCCTGCTGCTGCTTCTCCTTCTCCTCCTCCATCTCCTCCTCCTCCACCTCCTCCTCCTCCTCCTCAGGCTTGCTCGCGTCGTGGACGGGATTGCGACGGAAATAAGCTGGCTGTGTCCGGCATGTGGGGGGCCCTCGCCAGGCCAAAGGGCCGGCAGAAAAAGACTCGGGACGACAAACCGGCCACGGGGGAAAAGTCGGGACTTCCGGGACGCCGTAGTGAAAAGGCAGCATATCGCATGTCTGGTCTCTCCTATTCTTGCCAGATGCCCTAGACCCTTGAGGATACAGCGGAGGAAACTCTTCGCAATTCCACGGCCCCCTTGACCGTCAACGAAACTACTCAAGGAAGATGAACTGGTCCTGCAGAAAGCCACAGAGCCTAGGAACATGCAGACACACAAATATGCATACGGCTGTTTGGGGAGCCTACATGATATGGATGTTTGCATATCGAATACCATTTGATGGGTATGGTATGCCTGTTCCTCTTATGTTTACTAGTGTCCCTTCTCCCACCAGCCCTCTGGGAGCAGGTGGTCTAGAGCGTTTCCGTTTCCAGCCTCCTTCATTTTCCTGCTCGGGAGGTTACCCCCCCCTCCCTGGGTCTGGACGGGCTGCCCCGCGAGGGGTTGGAGCGTCCAAGATGGCCCAAGATAGCTCCAAGAGGGCTTCAGCTAGCCCAAGATGGCCTCCAAGATCGCCCAAGACACCTCGAGACGGCTAAAGATATCCTCCGGCACGCATCCAAGAGGCCTTAAGACGGCCCCAAGACGGTTTCAAGTGCCCTCCGAGCCCTCCAAGGACCCCCCCACGGGGCCAACCAAAACCTAAGAAAAACCAATGTGGTTTGCCTTTTCGCTTGTTCGCTTCCGATGGGCTCTTGAGGCGTCAAGATGGCCCCAAGATGGCCCAACATAGCCCCAAGAGAGGCTCAAGAGGGCCCCAAGACGGCCCCAAGAGCGCCCAAGAGCGCCCCAAGAGCTGTCCAAGAGGGTCCCAAGACGCCCCTCTTGGGCCTCCGAGGGGGGGCGTGAATTTAAGACCCCCCTCTTGTTTAAGCGAAGGGGCCCAAGACGGCCCCAAGAGGCCTCCCAGACCTCCTAAAAAGAGCCCAGCGAGGGCTCCAAGACCCCCCAACAAAGCTCCAAGAAGATCCCAAGAAGGCCCTCAGAGGACCCCAAGAGGACCCCAAGATGGCGCCCAAATGGCATTACGAGTCTCCGAAGAACCTCTCACCACGACATATGCCCAAGGCCCGACATCTCGTCCTCCTTGCCATCGTCCGTTTCTTCTTTGCTTCTTTCCTGCCGCCTCCCTGCTACTCTTCATCCTCCTCGCGCCGCGTTCCTCTTGCTCCTCCTCCTCTTCCTTCCCTTCCTCCTTTTTCTGCTGTTCCTCCCCCTCCTCCTCCTCCTCCTCCTCCTCATCCTTCTCCTCCTCCGGCTCCTCTTACCCCCAAGATGGCCCCAGGCATCACCAGCACCAGCAGCACCACTTGCTCCAAGATGGTTCCAAGAGGGCAGCAGAGCACCACAGGCAGCAACACCAGCAGCATCACCACCACCGCCACCACCATCACCAGCAGCCGCACGCGAGTTTAAGAAAAACTTCAGTGCGGGGGCAGAGATCAAGGTGCATATGGGGATGCGACCCTCAACTGTGCGACAGCGGCGACGAATCATGGATACAGTCACCTGCGCCAAAGACGCTAACCACAGGGAACACCCCGGCGTATCCTGCACTGGCGTCCATCTTAAGCTTCACTGCGGGAAGCTATGTGTGATCCTTATTTCTCATGGCCCAGGGTGGATATAGCCACCTGCGCTAGAGACGTTTACCTGAGGGCGCACCACGTCGCACCTTGCACCGATTCCCATCTTAAACTTCAATGCGGGAAGCTAGTTGTGATCCGAGCAACTGCATGCTTCCAGCGGCCCCTGATTTACCAACTCCCCTGCTCATCGTTTCTGGATGGGCTGGTGGGGATACTTTTTTGTCGCAACCGCAGGCGACGGCGCCGGCGGCGTCACCAGTCAGCTCGGGCTACGAGCAGAACTCATTGACCTAGCGCGCGCACAGGCGGCTGCAGGACTACCGCCGAAGGACGCTGGGCTGCGCCGAAGGCTGAGGCTGCAGGAGCTGCCGGGAGCTGCCAGGCAAGCGCGCGGGCATCCCAGGGACGAGACCACCAGGAAGAGCATGAATTGAACCTTGTCGCACCAGGCGCCAGAGGTCGAACCAGTGCTGCATGAGAACAGAGACAACCTCACATGGCTGAACAAGAAGGCTGAACCACCCCTGAGCGAACCACGAAGGGGCGCGTCCCACCACGCAGGTGGCAGCTGCAAACACGGCCAGGCTGTGGCGGTGTCTGGGACCAGAGGCCAGGAACACGCAGAGCCGGAGCTGGTCGACGTGCAAATCGCCTGGACGCCAGGGTGCCTCACCGGCTCAACGGCAGGTGGGGATACTTCTTTGTCGCAGCCGCAAGCGAAAGCGCACGCGGCGTCAAACGGGACGGGCGGGCCACGCGCGAACCTAATTGCCTAACGCGCCAGCAAACAGAGGCCTAAGCGGCATCTCAGCGGACTGGAAGCGGGAGGTGGTGCGGGATAGCCCAGCATTCCTATAACCCTATTGCCCTATTGTCCTATATCCCTATAGCCTACTGGCCCAATAGCCCCATGGCCCTATAGCCAAATAGCCCTATGGCCCTATAGCCGTATAGCCTTATAGCCCTATAGCCCTATAGCCCTATAGCTTTATAGCCCTATAGCCCTATAGCCCTTTAGCTCTATTTTCCTATAGCCCTACAGCCCTATAGCCCCATAGCCCTACAGCCCCATAGCCCTATATCACTAAAGCCCTATGGCCCTACGGTCCTATAGGCCCCAATAGCCCTATAGATTCATAGCCCTGTGGCCCTATGGCCCTATAGCCCTATAGCCCTATAGACCTATAGCCCTATGGCCCGATAGCCCTATAACCCTATAGCCCTATAGACCTATAACCCTAAGGTTCTGTAGCTCTATAGCCTCATAGCCATAGAGCCCCATAGCCCCATCGCCCAATAGTCCGATAGCACCATAGCCCTATAGCACTAAACAACTGTGATTGGGGTTACTCTCCGGTATCATACATATCAGCGTGGGCCCAAGACAGAGAGATCTTGCATCATGAAAGTGTCAGGTATGGCGTGCAATCTGTGCGGTGCAAGCTACGTGGGGTACTAGATGTGGTGCAAGCTGTGTGATGTGAGCTGTGCGGCTCACGCCGCATGGTGTAAGCTATGTGGTACAAGCTACGTTGTGTAAGCTATGTGGCGAAAGCGGCATGGTTTACGCTATGCGGTGCAGTATAATTAGAGTGAGCTAACTGATGCAAGCTATGTGGTGTAGGGTCTGTTTTGTATAACGTACAGGCTATGTAGTGTAAACTAAGTGGCGAAAACTATGTGGTAAAAGTTATGTGGTGCAAGCTATGTGGTGCAACGGATGTGGTGCAAGCTACGTAGCTCAATCTATCTATGCGCGCGCCCACGGGGTGCCCACGAGGCCACGACTGGCCACCAATTGGGCACCAGGCGAAACCGCTGCAGTCCCGCCCAGAGCATCGGATGCCCACGAGGCGCCCACAATTGGCCTTCAACCGGGCACCGGCGAAACCCTGGCGGACCTCATTAAATACTGATCAGACCAAGTAAGGAACCTTTACTAGTGCAAACACTGATTTGGGAATACGATCGCAAACTTCTGATTAAATGTGTCGCGGCGGCGCCCTGGTGACACACTACGCCTTGCAAGCGGATAGTGTGCCACTCCGCTCCGCGAGGCGCGAGGCTGCGAAACGCCCAGGACGCTGACGCTTGGAGACCGCGACGTGTTTGGAGTGTCGCGCCAAAGCGTGGTGGGCGAGAACCAGCACCAGGGCCCAGAACGAGCTCCAAGACACCGAAAACAATAAAAAGCATCCGGCCCCATATGTTCGAGTCGCAGACCCAGAAGTACGACGTCGTGACCATTCCGCGATGTGGCTCCCCAAAGGCCTGGAATCTTTCCTGGGGACCGGATTCTCATCACGGGCCGTGGTTCGACGGCCTCGCGAGGCCCAGAAAGGGCCCCCAGAGGGTAAACACTGCCAAAAACCTTCCGTCCTGATCACGGTCAGGAACTTTTGGATAGCATTAGGTCGGGCGTGTCCCGCTACAGGAGGATTTTGGACGAAAGTTTTTTATTCCCTACCTAGGCTCTGCCTAGAAGGGTTCTTACTCTCTTAGCTTAAAGGGGCCGGGCAGTGTAAAGCGCCCCGGGCGGTTCCCCCAGTCCCCGCCCCGCGGTTCCCCCAGTCCCCTGGGAGCTTTAGCCTTAGCTTTAGCTTTAGCTTAGCTTTAGCTTTAGCGTTAGCTTTAGCGTTAGCTTTAGCTTAGCTTTAGCTTAGTGTTAGCTTAGCTTTAGATTAGCTGTAGCTTAGCTTTAGCTTTGCTTCAGCTTAGTGTTAGCTTAGCTTTAGCTTAGCTTTAGCTTAGCTTTAGCTTAGCTTTAGCTTAGCTTCAGCTTAGCTTTAGCTTAGCTTTAGCTTCTTGTAAGCTTAGCCTTAGTTTAGCTTTAGCTTAGCTTTAGCTTAGCTGTAGCTTAGATTTAGCTTAAATTTAGCTTAGCTTCAGCTGAGTGTTAGCTTAGTTTTAGCTTAGCGTTAGCTTAGCTTTAGCTTAGCTTTAGCTTAGCTTCAGCTTAGTGTTAGCTTAGCTTTAGCTTAGTGTTAGCTTAGCTTTAGCTGAGCTTTAGCTTAGCCTTAGCTTAGATTTAGCTTAGCTGGAGCTTAGCTTTAGCTTAGCGTTTCGCTTAGCTTTTCGCTTAGCGTTTAGCTTAGCTTTAGCTTAGATTTAGCGTAGCCTTAGCTTAGCTTCAGCTTAGCTTTAGCTTAGCTTTAGCTTAGCTTTAGCTCAGCTTTAGCTTAGCTTTAGCTTAGCTTTAGCTTAGATTTAGCTTAGCTTTAGCTTAGCTGTAGCTTTAGCTTAGCTTCAGCTTAGCTTTAGCTTAGCTTTAGCTTAGCTTTAGCGCAGCCTTTGCTTAGCTTTAGCTTAGCTTTCGCTTAGTTTTAGCTCAGCTTCAGTTTAGCTTTAGCTAATAGTTAGCTTTAGATTTAGCTTAGCTTTAGCTTAGCTTTAGCTTAGTTTTAGCTTAGCTTTAGCTTAGCTTTAGCTTAGCTTTAGCTTAGCTTCAGGTTAGCTTTAGCTTTAGCTTTAGCTTAGTGTTAGCTTAGCCTTAGCTTAGCTTTAGCTTAGCTTTAACTTAGCTTCAGCTTAGCTTTAGCTTAGCTTCAGCTTAGCCCTAGCTTAGCTTTAGCTTAGCTTTAGCTTAGCTTTACTGTTACTACTAATGCTGCTTTCCTAGGGGCTCCAACTCCTAGGTAGGGTCGCACTGGGATAATCAAAAAAAAGAAAACAAAACAAAAACCCTATAATATCCAAAAATGCATAAAAAAAATGCTCAAAGAGATGGTCCCCAGACAAGTGTTTTGACTATTTGTAACTCTTCTTCCTGTAAAGAGACAGGCCCGACTGAAGGCTAGCACGTCGCGGCAGTGGCCCCGGCCACCCCCCCGCCGTGCCCTGAGGAAAGCGGCCGGCGTGTCGCCCCGCTCCGCAGGGCGCCGGGCTGAACAGGGCTCGGGACGCTCCTACTCGGGAAATGGGGAAGGGGATACGCGGATAGCGTGTCGCGCCGAAGCGTGGTGGGCCAGAAGTGGCGGCGCGACACGCGAAGCACACTTATTCGCTACTTGGTGCTAGTATATATACATACATATATATGTACCCCCAAAACAAACAAAACAAAAAAAAGTTCATCGCAACATCCACACGCTTCGGTGCTGATCATGTCAGCTCGCGCGCGGGCCGTTCGCATCACCAGGCAGGCGAAAAAACAAGATCGTTGAGCAGAGCAGCAACCCCAACCGAGAGGGGTGAAGGTCGATGCTGCACTATGCAGCGCTGTACCGCCCAGGCCGCAGCGGCGCGTAACAGAAGTTGCCCCACAGGATATCCAAGAGGAACAAAACATGGCATAGACGTAAACTTTTGGAGGTCCGCGCAGATGTCTTGGAACGGCGCTGGAAACCCCTCCCTGGCGCGCGGGGCGCGCCAGGGGCGGCGCCGCAGGCGTCGCCAAGGGGCTCCAGCGCCGATGCTCATGCCCTTGCTTATCCTGGACCTGTTGTCGGAAAGTTCACGCTTCTGCCATTGTCTACTCCCCGGCATCCTCGCTCCTCGACCGCGGGCAGCGCGCGCCTCGGAAGATCGGCGCCTCCGTGACCGGCGGCGCCCAGGGCTGCAGCAGCTTGAGGTGCTCGGTGGCGACCTGGGGCCGCGGAGGGCCCACGCCGTGGGCGCCACCCAAGACGAAGGAGCACCGGCGGCAAGCCCCAGCGGGGCACCAGCGGCAAGCCCTTTCGGACGAGGCCGGAGCACGGCCCAGGGCACCGAGTCGAGCTCACAGCGGGCCGAAAGCTGGAGCCACACGATCCAAGCAGAGCACCCGAGATGTTCGAGTCGTGAGCACGAGTTCTGGCCCCTGTCGAGGTCCAGATGGCGCTACTCAGGACGAAGGCAGGGCCCTCACGTCCACGCGTCGTGAAAAAAGAACGCGGCCGCGGCACGCTTTTCTCACTGCTTGGGCCTCTGGGGGCCCGCACAGAGGCCCCGTTGCCGCCAAGAAAAAGGGACTCAGGAGAAAGAGCCTGTCCCTGCAGGATGGAGAGCCGCGCTGTGGAAGCGTCACGATTTCGGGCGTCCGAGGATGAGGATAAATGAGGGTAGCGGTAAATAGGAAATCTCTGAAAGCTGGCGGATGCTCTGGGCGCCACGACCGTTTCAGAGCGCTCCAGAACGCGCTCAGGCCGTTCCAGAACGGTCTGGAGCGATCGACGTTCATCCCAGGCCTTCCTGACCACCGCCGCCGCCGCTGGCGTCAGCGCCATCGTCGTCCGCGCCAGCGTCGGCGCCGTCGGCACCGTTGGCGGCATCTTCGCCGGCGTCGTCGGCGCCGTTGCCACCGTCGTTGCTGTCGGCGCCTTCGGCGCCAGCGCCGCCGCCGCCGTGGATATTTTCGTCGTCGTCGATTGCGTCCATGCCTGCAGGCATAAAATGGGACCTGGTGCAAACGGGCCCTGGGCACCCAGGGTTTTCCCCGTCCTCTCCATATCCTCATCATCCTCCCGCTCCTCCTCCTCCTTATCATCCTTCTTCTTCTCCTCTTCCTCCTCCTTTCTGATATTCGACAAACTCGGATCGACTGCCTCCTCTTTCTCCGCCTCCTCCTCCTCCTCCTCCTCCACCTCACTCTCCTCCTCCTCCTCTTCATCCTCTTCCTCCCCCTCCTCCTCCTCCTCCTCCTCCTCCTCCTCCTCCTCCTCCTCCGACTCCGACTCCGACTCCGACTCCTCCTCCGCCTCCTCCTCCTCCTCCGCCTCCTCCTCCGACTCCGCCTCCTCCTCCTCATCCCCTCCTCCTTCTCCCCTCCTCCTCATCCGCCTCCTCCTCCTCCTCCTCCTCCTCCTGCTCCTCCTCCTCCCCCCCCCTCGTCCTCCGTCCTCCTCCTCCCTCCTCCTCCTCCTCCTCCTCCTCCTCCTCCTCCTCCTCCTCCTCCTCATCATCATCATCATCATCATCATCATCATCATCATCATCATCATCATCATCATCATCATCATCATCATCATCATCATCATCATCATCATCATCATCATCATCATCATCATCATCATCATCATCATCATCATCATCATCATCATCATCATCATCATCATCATCATCATCATCATCATCATCATCATCATCATCATCATCATCATCATCATCATCATCATCATCAGCATCAGCATCAGCATCAGCATCAGCATCAGCATCATCATCATCATCATCATCATCATCATCAGCAGCAGCAGCATCATCATCAGCAGCATCATCCTCTTCCTCCGCCTCCTCCTCCTCGCCCTCCTAGAGGTATTACATGGCAAATGACGCTATAGTTAGAGTTTGCTGTCAGATTAGGGCTATGTCGTCCGAAATGTCGATACTGTGTCCGACATCGAACCGAGGAGCATCATAGGAATAGAGCCGAGTCAGGCCGCCGAGTCGATCCCTGCTCCGCCTCTGATGTCTCCTCCTCCCCCGACTGTGAGCCCCAGGGACCATGGGGACCCTCAGGCCACTAATCTGACTCCGAGCGGGCCGTCAGGCGCAGAATCTGTTGAATTCGATGTCCGCCAGGCCCCTATCAGTAAGGCACGAGGGTTAGGACACAACCTTGTGTGTCGACACGATGTTGTAGTTTGCAGGCGTTGTTCTTCCTACGCTCCGTGTAAGTAGACGAATAGTGTAAAGGAGGGCTGTAAGCCCACCAGAGCTCGGACGGCAAAAGGTAGACTGACGCGTTTGTGGGAGGGCTGCCATCCGAAAACGGGGACGCCCATGTACAGGTTCACTCGCACGGCGAAGCAATCGGGCCTTGTGCCTTCCGTCAGGGTCCAGGTCTAAGTAGCACAATCCTAGCACCGTACTCCTCCTCCTCCTCCTCCTCCTCCTCCTCCTCCTCCTCCTCCTCCTCCTCCTCCTCCTCCTCCTCCTCCTCTCTCCTCCTCCTCCTCCTCCTCCTCCTCCCCCCCCCTCGTCGTCCTCCTCCTGCTCATCCTCCTCCTCCGCCTCCTCCTCCTCCTCGTCCTAGTCCTCCTCCTATTCCTCCTCCTCCTCCTCCTCCTCCTCCTCCTCCTCCTCCTCCTGCCTCCTCGCCTCTGCTCTCTTCCTCCTCCCTCCTTCTCCTTGTTGAGATTCAGCTAACTCGGATCGAATGCAGCATCCCTCTCCACCCCATCCTTCTCTTCCTCCTCCTCCCCTCCTCCTCCTTCTCCTCCTTCTCCTAATCCTCCTCCTCCTCCATCCTCTCCTGATTGTCATCA